GGCGGGGGAGGAGAGGATTCTAACCTAGCCTAAAGACCATTCGGTGAGCTTGCAGCGGAAAAAATACATTCAAGGAAGAAGTTTACCATCCTACTTGCTTTTTTTGACAACTAGGGCAGTACCAGGAAGAGGGGAATGCAGCTGTGCTTCCTTTTTCCCGCCTCTTTTTCTACTTGGATTGAACAGTTTTATACTATATGGTTCATATATATTTTATGCACGTGCATATACGTTCTGTTTAATCAAAGAGGATATGCACATGCTCAGAGGTCATCTCTTTATCATCTGTGTCTCTCTGAAATATATTTCCTAAGGATGAGCCTAAATTTTGAAAGCAGGACCAAAACTGAGACCTGGTGTTGATTAGGCACTGCAGGTGAATCCTATATTTAGAGCCAGGTAGTGGTTTTCTTGTTGAAAGCTAGCAATCAAAGCTGTTTTCTCACTAGAAAGCAACCTTCCTTTTTCTCTCCTGATCAGAAAACCTTTTATTTTAGCTGTTCCTTCTTCAGTGATTTTTCTCTCATTTTTTGTTGTTCCTTTTCAGCCTCAAATAGGCACCACTGTACCTCTCACTGAGGCTTATACCTTGGGTAATTTTAAGTACCTTCACTTGTACGCAGGGCAGTGCTCACAGTCCATTTCAGTAGTTGCTAATTTGGCAATAATGGTAGTCTCCACAATGGCAATTAATGAACAAAGGGAGCTTGCACTTTGTGACCTAGCAACCAGGTTTCCCTTTAAACTGGTTTCTCTCCTTCTTCCTCTCTTTTTTGTGTACAAGCCCTCAAAGTCTCCAGGGAACAGCAGTGTTAAATTGCTTTGTGTCACTGATCTTTACGATGTGATGGCAATGCTTGCTCTCCGTTTCCTTTCCTTTCATCTCCTCTCCTGGTTTCATTAATTACTTGGCTTTATTTACTCATTATTGCATCGTGTACTTAGTTCCAAACATGCAAATATCGCCAGATTTAATATTACATTTAAATAGTTCTAATTCTCTCAAGGCTCCAAAGTTTTTTTAGAAAGTGGCAACCACCACGGTATTTTGCGTGTTTAGTTTCTTTTACAGCAACTGGACTAATCCAAATATCTTGTTGATCTTTCTTCTTCAAAAATTATAACATATTGTTTACATTCTTGCTTTACTTACCATCTATCACTTATTGAGCTCTTTACTTTCTTGCATACCTTGCAAGTTTGAAAAGTCTTAATACATTTCCATTTAGAAACATCCATTATACAACAGATTTATTCGAATTAGTTCTTGCTGTAGTTCTGCTTGGGTTATGAAGTTCATGCTTTAAAAGAAAACGGTGACTGAGAAGAGAGAAGAAACATTTTCTCTGTTTTTAAAAAGTGCTTTGTCATAACGTTCAGAGGAATGCATAGTATGTCTCCAGAAATAAGTATGCCAGTCATTACGATCTGCATTAAAAGCAAAATATTACTCTGGAAAAATATTCAGCATTACCACCATTCTTTCATTTCACAGCTAGTACATATGAAAACAAAAACTCTTTCCAACACGTCTTCTGTCCCTCTAAGCATGCTTATTTTTTCCCTGCACACATTTCTCCCTACATCCCATCACGATCCTTCTCTTTATTTTGCATCACTAAAGTCTTTGAAATGTCAGGTGTACTAATTTATCATTTGCTAGCTCTGTACTGTGCAACCTTCCCTGTGGTGTTGCATAGCCATTTCAGTATTGCACACCATACTACCCCTTTTCTTTCTGTATCTTATGCTGTTTTTCTGCCTCAGTCCTATGACATCTTTTGTCACCACATTTTTTGACCCACTGTTCACTGCATTCATAGGCCAAAGCTAGCAACGATGATGCCATTATGACAAAAGCTCTATTCCTCTGTACTTGAGTTGTGATGTCACAAACAGGCACATGAGGGATGAAGATTGCATTGCAGTATTGTGACACATGATTCATCATTTGGCATTCCAGCCCCCCACTGTGGATGTCTATGACTGCATGCTCAGTTCTAAGTCCTTGCTTCTTTTCTTTCTTTAGTCTCTCTCATACTGTTGTTTGGTTTTTTGCTTATTCATGGGTTGTATTTATTATTTATTAGGAGTCCCTAGGGTTCCTGGACGTTAACAACAGAATTAAAATATCCACAGTAAATAGTACAAAAAAACATAAAATTCAATCATCCATGACCAAATGTGAAAAACAAAACCCACAACATAACATCAAATAACTCCTGGAGCAATAAATTGTCAGATAGCACCACTCCTATTATTCCTCAATTCCCCTCTGGAAAAACCCTGTTTTGAATAATTTCCACATAGATTGGGAGCACATCTATCTTCTGGAAGGATGCTATTCCTTCAAAAAAAATGTTTTTGCTCATTTTTTTTTCCTTTTCCCTTCCCTTCTCTTGTCACATTGTTCTTTCTAGCCATTTTAGGCAGGAATCACATACATAATGCAGTTTCAGCAGTTCCTACCTTCAGGCCCCTGAAGGGTAAGTAAGCTGTACAATATGGCCTATCTATCAGAAAGTGTCTGGGAAAGGCAATGCTGTTGATGTGGAGGAACCATTTCTGATATAGTGACTCTCCCAACTTATACTTCAGGTAGCTTTTGTAGACCCTAATTATTAGAAAGAATTGGGAAAAATTTGTAAACAATCCATGTCAAGAATTATCTTCTTCCCCTGTCCATTGTGTAAAAGGAAAGAGGAAGTATGCACAGAACAATTTATGAAAACAGAAAATCTACATATCATACAGAAATTCTTCAACAATCCTGCTTAGAGGGTTTTGCCCAGCTGAAATCATGTGCTTTGTTGTGTTTTAAGGGCATCTTTTGTTTTTCTTCCTGTGGCTTCTGCTGTGTAGGTTTGCCCTTTAGCTTTTCTGTGGACAGGGTTTTGTGTAGTACATTGTCTGGCCAGCCCTTTCATTCATTTTTCATATACCCTTCAAAAGACCCTATATTATTCTTCATGTCTTCATGAGACAGTCCTTCAAACATACCAATGGAAGGGCTTGCATATGCAGATTTGCTTTTCAAAGTGTATTCTGTGCCAAAAAGTTGGGGGTTAAAATATTTGAGACATTTTCATGAAAATTCCTGGAAATAAATTAATAGTCTTTCTCTCCTCTTAAAGGAAAATTCTCAGCAATCAATCAATCAATCAATCAGTCAATCAATCAATCACTACAAACATGTCCTAGTAAACTTGATAGACAGATTTAGGATTTATGTGGCTATTGAAGGAGGGTTACTTTCTTTACGAAACTAGTATTCATTTGTCTTAACAAAGCCTATGTCAGTTGTGAAATTAGATTAGGATCCTGAGGGAATTTTAAATCCTGCTGTTTTGATTCCCTCCAGTCTCAGAATCGTAGTACTGTTTTTGAGTTAAACATGCTTCCAGCTTTCATGGTTTATGTTTTCTGTGCCTATGAGATTAACATCTAATTTACTAGACTTCAAAGTTCTGCATAATTATGACAAACAAGAGGTGACTTCCAGTTGTACAACCAAGAAATAGTATTACTATATATTGGTGTATTAATTGCAACTCTACTTTAAAACTTGTACAAGTTAGCAGCTTCGTTACGGCTTTAGGTACTTTAAATATTTTTTTCTGTTATTCTCTTTCTTTAGAACCTTCTGGCAAGGATATTGGCCCCACCCTGGGTTTAAAAAAGTCAAGTTCCCTAGAAAGTCTCCAGACAGCTGTTGCTGAAGTAAAAAAGAATGAGCTTCCATTTTACAGGCCCAGGCCTCACATGGTCCGTGGTAGGGGATGCAATGAGAGTTTCAGAGCTGCCATCGATAAATCTTATGACGGACCTGAAGACATGGCAGAAGGTAAGTACTACAGAACTTCTCTTAGTAGAGAAAAAAAAAATCTTTTTCAGTAAATCTGTGTTGTCCTATAAAAATTCTTCAGTAAAAACTGATTTCAAAAAACCATAGTTTTGGTGGCTTCCGGAGGAGAAATGACAGATTGGATATGTCTCCATTCAGTGAGCCAACACCCACAGTAATTAGAGGAGCTGGCAATCGGCTCGGCTCTTTGGAATCATCTCCGGACGAAGGAGATGACAGGATCACCCACAGGTGCTCCTTACGGAGGCTCCCTGTGAAGAGATCGCAATCTAAAGCCATCTCCAGCAGGTGGAGTGCTCTGGGAGTCAAGGGAAGCATGGAGCCCAAGCTGCAGTGTGGAGACTTCACAAAGACCCTAGATTTGCTTTCACTTCCTCTTTTAATTAACACCGGAAACTGCCTATTTGTGATTTACTTGGAAATTAGAAACCTCCTGGCAGGCAAGTTGCTGTACACCGGGAGAATTTCCTTCTATCCTGGGAGAAAGAAGATTAAAGTAAGTTTAAAGATCAAAAGGAAATATTTTAACTTTTGGAAACAATGAAAGGGAATTTAGAATGCTGACTGGTGACAGTTAAGAGGCTAGATGGATTTGAAACAGCTCTTTTAAGGATTGTTTTAAATGTTTAAGAAAATACAGTAAGTGAATTTGGATTTAACTGCAAGAAA